ATTTACTTGGAAACCCTCGGGAGGCTCATGCAGCTTCTACAACATTAGACAGAGTTTGTTTGCTGATTCTCCACCATTAAAGTGCGACGTTAGCATTACCCAGTCATCAAAATGGCCACAATTATGAAAATTAGACCCAGGCTGAAAAGACTCTAAATGCGTGCTTGTGATCAAGCTTTTTCTAAATATGTCCCACCTGAGGAGTTAAGAGGAAGCAGCAGGGTCTGTCACTCTCAGCCTCAGCAATATGACAAACACTGAAATCCCTTCAACGAGATGTGCGTCAACATGGAACTTGTGATTCCCACCTGCTGTTTTTCTTTCTTTCTTTTCTGTAAGTTGAGAAACATTCAGGAAATGAATTGGAAGAAATGGCGATGAATAGAAATGGTCACTTTGGAAGGTGAAGTGGCTTCACTGGATTCATGTTGGCTATCACCAGAAGCAGAAAAGAGATATGACTCGGAGCGCTTCATCTAACCACAAATGGACTCTTATATTGGCAGTTTCTATTTTAGAATACTTATATCGGAATCTAGAGTGTCTGATAGCAGTTGTCTGGGAAAGGCGGGAGTAGCCCCGGGGTTTGTGGTCTTGTCTGACACCGTCTTTAGAAACAATTCCCAGCAAGGTGGACTAGAGCGGGGACTAAAGTGTCATGGGAAATGGTGCCATATGTCCAACTAGATTTTCAGTCTTTCACCGCATTTCGGCGGTTGAAATGAAATTTGAGCCGAGTTCTCGGGTTGTTGTCTGTATTTGAAAGGTAGGTGTTGTTTTGTGAATCCCAAATCTCCCTTCTCATCTCCCACCTCGGCCCCCGTGTGCCTCTCACTTCTGATGGGCGGTCATGTACTGCATTTGTGAATGTGTGTCACACATTTTTACGCAGTAACACCGGATGCCTTACAAAGTTAGGGATATGGAAATGTTGAGTGTTGTCTTTGTACCGTGCAAGCTGAACTAGCCCACGTATTTAGTTTGGCAGTTTAGAGGCATGTGCATGGACAGTGAAGTGCACTTACATTTTTATTTAATACATTAAAGGTTCACTGTAACGGTCTCTTGGATTTTGTTTATTTTTTTAAAGCTAATTTTATTCCTTGGCCAGCAATCAAAAAGTTCCACTGAACAGATTAGAAATACTGCAGTAAAGAACAAAGGAGTTGGAAAGAAGAGGCAAAACAGGGATGATGCTTTGTTCCCTAATATTAGGAATTCAATTTATTTTCTTACCCTACTTTATGAATTACCATTGAAAATCTCCACCGGAGCAAAACATGCTGTAAGACCACTCTGTCACTCCGGATATTGGATTACGGAGGCATCCCCCGCTGTTGGAGGAAAAGCTTGACTCGAGGATCTGCGCTTTCTTCCAAAGATGTTGGCTACCAGTAATATGGGGTATAAAACAACATAAAAAGACAAACAATCTTGAAGTACTCCTGCTGTGACCACGGTGGGGGCACTCTTATTTGACTAAAGGCTACACCCTCCTTTATGCTGCAGAGAAAGCGTCCCTGTCGAACCCAAGCCCAGAACAATGGGGGCCAGCCATGGGGAAACGGGGCTATTTGCATGCAGCTGTTTGCCGTTTCCAGGACCACAAAGGCCAATCAAAGGAACCTTAATGGAGGATGACAAGCGTCAACCAACGGCTTTGCTCTCTGTCTGTGCCAGCCCTCGCCACTCTGTCTACCCTCCAAAAAATGGCCCACATTTCATTCTTTCGGCCTGATCAAACAGTCCTCCGGCTCTCTCTCCCACCGTCTGATGTCCTGAGGCAGTGGAGTTTGAAGGGTTAAAGGTTGGTCATGACTGCGAACACACAGAGCAGCGAAGACAGACCTCAACATGTGTGTTATGGTCTGGCGCTCGCAGTCGCCAAATGGCAATACCTCAACACCAAAACCGCTATTATCTTTTCGCTTCATCTCCAGGGTTTTAAAAGCCACAGAGTGTAACTCTGTGGATGGTTTCAGATGCACCCATCTGAGCCACAGTACCACTTCCAATTTCAAGGGTGTTGATGGAAAACAAAATATGTAATATGAGGGGAGAGGGGGGGGTAGTAGTCGCCAGTGAATTATAGGCTTTCAACTGGAGAAGAAGAGAAACTCCCAGAATGCAACATATTGTGAAGCAGTCCTTGGGTCTTGCTTTGCTCTCCTGAGCTCAATAGACAGCTTAGCAGGCAGGTCAGGGGGAGGAATCTGAAAAGCTGCTTTCCTCGCAGTCACTCACTGACCAGAATGCATGATAAGGCTTTGTGTCAACAAGGCCAGGAATAGGGATCACAGCCAATTATGGCTATGTCAAAGTGGCTACATGGCAATTTGACTAAGTGGTCACACAAAGCATTATTCAATTCCCTCACTGATTGTGCAATTCAACGGAGACACGGAGAGAGAAGAAGTCCGCTCTCTTTCTTATTTTTTTTTTTTACACACGAGCGGGGATCGTGTTATGGATTTCTTCCTGCAGTTTTCTTGACACCGTTTTCCCCGCAGCCGGTGCCCTTCTGTCGCAGTCTTCAACTGCTGCAAAGTTGAGCAGTCAAACAAAGCAGAGAATGAGAGATGAAAAGCTTTTCATACCTCCCAAAGACATTGACATTTGTGCACACAAACAAATCCGCCTCTCTTTCCAAAAAAAATCTCGCAAAACTTGTTTAAGCCGAGAAAATCAACACAGAAGAATACCTTCATCCAGAAACCTTTGTTGTCACAAGGTTTTTGTCTTTCTTAGCTCTGCTTAAATCCTAAGATCTTAAGCAACTTTCAGTTAAGTCGACCAAAAATATATTCGCTTGAATTCAAAAAAATAAAAATAAAATCTCCTTTATATCTATTTGAACTTTTTACAGGGATTTGTCATCACTTGCTCAAATGCATGTTGAAAAGGCAGCCATTAATGAGGCCGAGACTATCCGCAGTTTGGAGAGGAGGCAATTTATTCTTCAGGTCGCCAGTACAGCCCAGATACTCCCCTTATTTGATGCAGTGTTAGCCTATGACCAGAGAGATCCATACGGAGGAGGAGGCCGGCAAGGCACAAGCCCAATCAATCGCTCGGCCTCTGTTGACAGCAGCATGCCATTATGCCATAGCAGCCTGATAGATGGGCAGAGTCAGTGGACAGCCAGAGAAAGGAGGTTACGCAGGCAGATGGCGTGTGTCCGTGAGGGTGTTTTGGCCGAACGACGCTCTCCCAGCTCCGAATTTTAAAACCCTGTGAAATGCATTCTTTCTGTCTGCTGTCTGTAGCTGCCGTGATAAACCCGTCACTCCTTCCGTGAGGAATGGCAGGCGGGGGCGATCATTAGTCTTCGCCAGTAAAGCCGGCGACTTCCCTCTTTGTTTTATCATCCACTATTCTGGACAGGTTTCCTGAAAGGTTTGGGTAATTGTAGTGGTTATTGGAATAGATGGAGTGACCCCACAGCCCTCCACTTGTGGTTCGGCTACACTGACGTCTCCTAATGAGGTGATAAACAGTCCAGCTAAGCAGAATCTACTGGCCATTAGACAGATCATGGCGCTGTAATGAAATGGCTAGTGGCCGAACGCCAGAGAATTTGTACTATTAGTTTCATATTTTGTTATCCTGCTACCACCAGTGCACGCAGAAGTCTGTCCTAATATGGGACGACTCCAACATTATATTTTCAACAATGTTTCGCAGATGTGTATTTGCTAGTGTGACAGACTGACATAGAATACCATTATAAGTGAGCCAGGAACAGCGGGCTGGAATGACTAGCAGAAATGTGGGTCGGGGGGGTTTCAGGGTAGGAATTTCAAGCCGGAACCACTTCAACTTTGGGCAGTTCAAACAATGCTAATTGCGTCAGGCCCCGACTGTCAGAAGCGTGAGGATAATTAGAGTGAGGGGGCAAAGTGAACCCGAGGTGGTAAGTGTTAGTACATGACAATGCTCGGGAGCCAATGGGAGCATGGCAAAGGCAACAGGCTGAAAGGATGGCTAATTAGGAGAGAGCAGTGCAGAAAATACAAATGGTAGCTGCCCCCTCTGGGACCCACTATTGCTGCAAACAACGGCGATTATTGACAGTTCATGCAGTGCTCTGCTTGCACTTCTTAAATGGAACACATTTGCATGTTCTACTTCGATTTTACCTAATTGTTTTCTCACAATTGCAGACACTTAACGTTCTTTTTTTTTTTTTTTTAAACTTTGGATAATTTGAACAGATAATGGATTTCTTTCGTCCTTTGTTTTTCCTTCCCCTTGCTTTTGTCTCTCTTTGCAAATCTCCATATCTTTAGTTTCACCCTATTTGTGACATGACATTTTATTACTTAGGAAAAAAAGGAAATACAGAGGAATCGCCTATTCCATTGTAACTTGCTGAAAAAAAGGGGGGGGGGGGGGACAGATTTGAGTGAAACTGTTAAATTATCCCCAAAGTAGAGCTATTTGGCTGCACCTCCATCTGCTGTGTTCCATGTATAGATTTTTCCTCCTGTGTGGACTCCAGACTCTTCGATCCCCGACACGGTAAAATAGATTATATTACGCTCCCTTCTGCCGGGATTCTGCCTTTTTCCTGTCTTTGCAGAGCAAGTAAAGCAAAAGAAACAAATGAGGGGGGCCTGCACGACCGTAGAGCAAACTATTCTCGGCCCAGATGGGATCGGCTCCGTGGTGGATGTTCTCTGTGGCCTTTGTGTTAGCTCAGGAATTTATGAGGTCACCATTGGTCTCCAATGACTTAGATTTGATGTCTTAGCCAACATCTAAGACCGCAGAGAGATGGAGAGATGAATTGTTTTGTCTTTCTCCATTCCTGTATTGCGTGTAATGGCCCAACTGTTTAAAACTGCGGTAAACATTGGACCGCTGTTGGCTATTTATTTTGTGCCAGTGAATTTTCACCGCACAATGTGTGGTCTTATTGTATCGCAGCAGTGATCCTTTCAACTCATTAATCGTATTATTTGCCTAAAGTTTCGTCTCTGTCTTTGTGTCTCCGTCAGGGTTCAGCCGTGCAGCCTTGCCTTTCGGGCTGGTCAGGAGGGAGCTCTCGTGTGAAGGATATGCTATTGATCTCCGCTGCCCGGGGAGTGATGTCATCATGATCGAGACGGCCAACTACGGCCGAACCGACGACAAGATCTGTGACGCTGACCCGTTCCAGATGGAGAACGTCAACTGCTATCTCCCCGATGCCTACAAGATCATATCACAAAGGTAAACCGCTGGGGAGAGGAGGGATCTTATTTCACAAACATAACCAAGAGCTGGCAAAGTACGGACATCTTTTTTCTCTCTATCTCTCTCTCTCTCTTTCTCCTTCTGCGCCTAACATTTGTGCACACAAAAGAAACGTTTAAATTATCACCCTGCTCGTGCAGCCACCTACATACAGGACAATTAATCAACATCTCACACCTTTTTATATTGTTCTTTATTCCCTCATCAACTGGATGTATGTAGGTGGCATTTTGAAATCAGAAAACTGGGGCGCAGATTAATTCTTGACAGGCAGGAATCGACATCCGTGCGGTGCGGCAAAACTCATCACACCAGCTGTGCGTTGTTACTGCTGTTTGAGTCATAATCAGTGTAGCTCAGTGAGATGGAGAGTCACATGAACACCCTCTTAATTCCCTATCTGGAACATTGGGCTTGCTTTGTTCAAACACTTGTACTGCATTGAAGTGGCTGTGCCTCAGGTAGTGAGCAGTGCCCATCATCATGCCTTTTATCCCGGTTTCCCTCTCACAGGATGCTGCTTTGCTGTCAAACGACAGCACAGCACAGCAACACTTCAACCCGACTGCTGCTTACCCCTAGAGGTGTGTGTATTTTTAAAGGGCACTGGATGAACTATTCAAAGATAGCAACCGGCGCAGTTCATCTTCTAATGCACTGCTCTGCCCTAACCTGGCCCCCCTTAGGCTAACTCCTGAGCATCATCGCCCACCATCTTACTCCTCTGGGTTTTTTCCCTCATTCACTTCTGTATTTATCCTCATGATGCAGAACTACAGAATATAGATCTAGTCCTACTGTCTTACTCTGTCTTCATATATTTACAGCCGAGTCTCAGCGCTCTCATACAGTAACACACACCTGACGGTGTCCATGCCCCTTGGTTTGCACCCCATCTGTTGACAAGCCAGCCACTCACTCTCTGGAGTCCAACTTCAAACTTATCTCCATGGAAGATTCCCTGGAGGCAGTGTGCGAGCCAAAGCTTTGAGAAGACTCTGCAACACAAGCCCTTAGCCAGAATTATTCTAATGATTCAGATCAGAGAAAACGGGCTTCGGACCGTAATTAAGGTTGATGTGATAACCAGGGATGTTAAAGCAGTCACAAGGCTCAGTCCTCCTTCAGTCGCGAGCAAACTAAAAACCAGGCGGATGTTTAAACGACGAAACGTTAAGACACAATTCTCTGCCAATGTCGGGGAAGATTAACAAAAGGCAATAGCACCACAGACTAGATAAACAAATGTGTTAAACAGGATTGGGGTGATAGAAACAGTGGGAGGTCTGCTGCACAGAGTGGCAGTTTCGTTGGTTTGGAAATTGCCACAAAAAGGATCCACCGGCAACCCGTTTTTTCACAACAGCGAAACAACAATAACGATTGATTTTCAACATCTACATCGATGTGTTTTGGTTGATGATGGAAAAGAAGTGGCTGGATAATAAAATGTACCAAGGAAGTGATGGAAACTCTGGTTGCTGGTGATCGTTCGCTCGGAGATGTACTGTAAATGGATGATGTGTCCTCCTCCTCTCTGTTTTCTGCTTGTGTAGGTTCAAAAACACACAAGAAGATAATCTAAATAAAGCTTACCTTACCTCATTTCAATAGCTGCCCACAACAGAATAAATGTTTCCTCTGGTCAGAGGTGCAGCTCTTAGATAGAAAGCAAACAGGATTCTAACACTTTGCTACCATGAGATTGTGCTCAGCGCAGTAGACATTGCATGCAGCCATTTCAGCGGCAGTTTAAAACAGAGGAAGCGTGTCTAAATGCCGAGCAACGACGCCTCCCTTTGCTCCAAAGCATCTAAAATTTGCAGTACAGTAAATGCCAGAGTGAAATCTCACTATGTGAAAGAAATTAGCAGCGGTGGTCTTTCAGCTCATTGTTTGGGTTTCTCCGGCTCGCAACTTTGATGTTTTGGTTCAGTCTCGTCATTCTCATTGATCTCAAGCAAAGCAGGAAGCAGTTTCAGTGAAAAAGCACAAGCAACATCAGACAAAGTGCAGCATTTAGCAGCTAAAGAGCCAGATATTTCCCCCCGGAGTTGGTGGAGACCAAAACAAAGCTTAAAAGAGAGTGAATATTGAACTTACATTCATCAGTAGGCCAGAAAATGGACTCCAAATAAACATTAATGTTGCTCCGTGTCTTCTTAGATAGGTCATTGTTTGCAAACACATATATTGCCATATCGACTTAAAAGGTGATCATTTGTCCGTGTCATGTTCACAGTTTACCGTCGTGTGGCAAAAAAAAAAAGAAGTACTCCATTATTTAATATTGTAGCCAATTGATGTGGAGTAAATATCATTATATATACATTTTATTACAATAATACATAATGCATTGTATTAAATGAGCTACTCTTATCTTTTGTATGTTGAATACTTGAGTAGATATAGTTCCTACACTTCGGAGCTAGTGTCAGTCAGACTTATAAACCTCTGAATTAAATCGATTATCTCCAGATGTATTTGAAGTGACTGTTGCTTTCATCCGGCGTCAGTCAGTTCACATTTTGACGCGGTGACCCTTGTCCCTCTCAGCAGCTCTCACCGCAGTGAAGCCATAAAAGTGAATCTCTTAAGTGCAGCTGGTACCGTACTGTCACTGATGTTCGAGCTGATGCTATTTGTTAACTTCATAATGGACTTTGTGCCTTTTTATTCATACGTATAATATTTAATAATCCATTAGCTTCAAGGGGAAGGGTTTTTTTTTTTCTTATGAAAATGCATAGCTGGATTTCTGCAGTGCAGCTTTGAAAAGCAAGGTCTCCATCTGGTTAATGTAAATACATTTACCTTTTTTTTCACGACTTTAACGTCGCGCATAGTTGAAAGTGCAGAGTCGAGGCTTCGTGTGGCTGTTGTGCGGCACAATCCCATTTTGCAGCGACAGAAAGCCTCTTGAGTTTCTAATGATTCTTTGAAAGTCATGTCCAATGTTGAAATGTACGTCCAACTTGCATGACTGCTACTGAACCTCTGAAATATTCATCTCAGGCTTGCAAATTGTTGAATGTCCTATTTTGCATCTCTTACTGTTCACATTATTCTCAATCCCTCGGCCTCAAAAGAACTTGATTGAAGTGGAGCCAATTTCCCCCTATACAGTATTTACACAAACTCCGTCCC